TAACAAAAAAGATCCATGGTTTTCTAATAAAAGTCACTGTATTCTGTGGTGCTTTGGAAAACTAGCAAGGAAATTCCCAACTAATTAAGTTGTGGAAAGGTTAATGATAAAACTTTAACTGCTGAAAAGATAACAACTCAAATTTAATAAGCATATAAGTGACTAAGTTCTGGATCCTGGCAGGCTCCTGCAGAGCTCATTCAGTAATTTGAACTTACACAATAGTCAAGGCAACAGAAAGAAGAAACACAGCTTGGATGCAGAGGTTGATCTTGATCTGGGTTTTCCTACTAGTCTATTACCTGGGAAGCCACGTGCATATCAGGCCTTGGCTTTCTGCTCCAGCAATTTGTTTAGTGCCTTCCAGCTAATCTGGTCTCCTAGTGACACTGTGTATAGCAGAGGGAACCCTGCCTGGTCTTTTTGCCCCATCTTCTCACCTTCCAGTGCTATATCAGACAATGCTCTGCTGCTATTCATAGGATTTTTATGCCCAATTTTTTCAGAAGTAGGTGGCCAGGTCCTTCTTCCTAGCCTGTCTTAGTCTGGAAGCTACACTGAGACCTGTCCACCACGGGTGCCCTGCTGGTATTTGAAATCCCAGGGCCATAGCTTTCAGCATCACAGCAACGTGCAGCCCATCACAGTATGACAACTGACAGACAGACTGGTGATGTGGTTCCCTGGCCAGGAAACAACTTATGCTGGGGTGGTGAGAGCATCGGATCTTAACCACCAGGCCACGAAGGCAGGTTGCTCCAGCAACAGGGATGTGGAAAATATACAGGCTCTATTCACTCTCAGGTGTGTTGTTGCTTTCGCAATTTCCAAACTTGATATGGCAGCAATTAACTGATAAGTAGAACATGATATAGGGAGTCAGAAGAGAGACTCAGAATGCAGGGTTGTGAAAGAATATTATTTATTAGAAAGAATAACAAAGTACTTTATATACATGTTACTGACATACATGATCTGGGTTACTAGGACATTCTAGGAGTAAATTTATTCTGGAGCCTAAAATACCAAGCTTAGTTACTTGAGAATTCCTGCTCACAACTTTTGTGTTTTTTAAAACATTAAAATTTAGTAGATAAAGGTCTACTGAAAAATACTGGAAAAATATGAAATTTAGGTAGCATCAGTGACCATATGCACTCTAAAATATCCTTTCTGGCGAAATAGTGATTCCATCAAGCACAACACTGAAAATACATTTTCTCCTAAAAAATGTGAGTGTGTAGTAGCAACACTGTATATATATGCAAATAACAGCAATAGTCTTCCATCGAAAGTGAATAAACTTTATAAATGACAACATACACATCAATCCACTCTCTTCATGCACAGTAAGCATATTTTTGGAGTGAAAGAACCCTGAAGTACAACCAACTTTAGATCTTCTTTGTTAATCACTATAGGGAGAGCGTGAATAAATGAAGTTGATTTATTCATTTGACAAACATTCTGAGGACGTATTAGGTGTTGTGAGCAAGCATTGTGTTAGGCAATGCAATTATGAACAAGATAGACATGTTTTCTGCCTTTGTGAAGCCTATTGTCTAATGAAGAAGCTCACACATAAGCTATTACAATAAAGTATGACAAGTGCTGACAGGGGAAGTACAGGGTTTTCTGAAAGCACATGAGGTACCAAAACTGAATTTAGAAGAGTCAGAGAAATTTTCCTGGGGGAAATGATCTCTAAATTGAGGCCTTAAAGCTGTGGATGTGTTGGTCAGTTTGGTGGGGAGGAGTTGAAGAAAGAAGGTAAAGCATGTACAGAGTTCTGGAAGTGAGAAAGCATGTTTCTCACAAGGAACTGAAAAACAAATTCAATATAGCTGAGTCTTGGAAAGGGAGGGTGGTAGTATAGGGAGATGAGGTATGCGAGAAACAGTTCATGGAGGGCCTTGTAAAACATACTAAGGAGTAAGGACTTGCTCATAATGGTAACAGGAAGCCATTGAAAAGATTTAGGCCAAGGAGATTCAAGTCATGTTTTAGAAAGATCATTCTGACTATAAAGTGGAAAAATGAAGGCAGGGAGACCAATTAGGATTCTGAGATAGCAATCTAGGTGAGATGATGGTGGTATGGACTAAATTAGTGATACTGGGAAGGTAAAGAAGTGGAAAGATTAAAGACATTTTTAGGAAGTAGAAGTTTAAAATAGATAGGACTTGGTGATTGGTTATATGTGGGCAGTGTAGGAGAGAATTTTATCATTTGCTGAGACTGAAAACATAGGAAGGAGAAAAGGTTTGGGAGAAGGATGCTGAGTTCCTTATTTCGACACACTGAATTGGAGGTACTAAGGGATAAGCAAGCACAAATGTTGGGCAAGCACTTGACTGAATGGATCTGATATTCTGTACAGCGCTCTGAACTGGAGAGTTGTTAGTATGAAATGGTGACTGAAGCCATGGGAGTGGTGACATTGTCTAAGGCAATGTGTACAGTGATGAAAGAGCAGCTGTTGGAAGGAACCCCAAAGGACACCAAAAATTAAGAGTTTGGCAGAGAAATAGAAGTTACAAAATACCTTAAGTTCAGCAATAAATAATCCTCAAGCCATAATTTATACATTAGTTTATATTCTCCTTGGCCAAGTCTATTACTAGAAGTACTAATGGGTACGAAAGTCTCAAATTTCTCTTCTTTCACCTCGTAAAGCCATGAATCCGCAATGAAAACATTTTAAATAACCTGAAATCAATAAACATTTATAAAATAACTTAAAATGTAACCTACAAACCAAACAAATAGCCCTTGATTGCTCAATACCTAGCTTTGACTATTTTGGGCTTTCTACTTTACAACAGACCTTTACTTACGCTGTAATTTGCCCTCCATCAGTTCTGTAACTGTTTCTTATTTCCTGATCATCTGGATAGTCTTTAATGGATCTGCAGTGACAGCCCAGAGAGATTTTCTCTGATCAAAACATGTGATTAAATAGAGATATGTTGGTCAGAAGACGCCCATGGTCCCTAATTCCCACATGGAAAAGATCCAAATACAGTTTGGGATGGGTCAATGGGGATTTGCCTCAATATGTTTCCTTTTATATCTATAGGAGTAGAAATGAGAATGTGGCCTCTAGAGTGGCTAATAGTGGTATGCTGACACGTTTAACAACTGGCTCGCCAGGAAAAAGAGCCCTAATTTGATGTGTTTGCCGATTTTTATACTGTAAATACGCCCCCCATAGACAGTTTCAAACTACCCACTTGATGTTACCAAAGGCAGAGTAGGGAAAAAATGTACACAATAGGCTCTTGCAAGCCACTGCAAGCTGGCTCCAGCCTACGACTGAACCAAGAATGATCTGATGGTGTCCAGGAGTGGGAAAATACCTTCATATGACAGCTTAAGATATGAGAGGCCTGAATTCTACAAAATACTGAATTTTTACTTTAAGGAAAATTGATTTATTCATCTATAATCAGTTTATTTGTAGATCTTAACCTTTTTCCTTTGAATTGAGGACTGGTGGTATGAGTGATGTATAAACTAATTATCTAATAACTTATTTTTGTAACTTCTATATCTCTATTCATAGCAATAACAGTTTCTAAAACTGGCTTGTATCTGAGATTGAAATGATTGAGAATCATTTTCAATCTAATTCCTTATACTGTGAATCAAACAAATTACCAGTTTCTTTTTATTTCAGGATAACAGTATAATCTGCATTCTAATATATTTCATAAAAGAAAATATTTTATTTCCATCAAATAAACAGTTTGTTTTTTCCCCATCAAAGCCAACAGTCTGATGGTATACTGCTCTAACCAACAATATGTGCAGAAAAAAATAGCAGCAAAATATCTTATTTCTTTATATAATTTAATTTATACCCTATCAACAGCAGTGTGCAGATATTCTAAATAATTACTATTAAAACTTACTTTTAAATTATTTTCAACATTAGGCACTGGTGGAACCAGAGCTATTATTATGCACACTATATCTTTTTTACATTCCAAAGGGAAATTAAAATTCCCGGTAGCATTAGAAAAGAACGCACTTTTAATATTTAATGCAGATATACAAAATCTCATGACTTCTATTAAAAACCTCGAAATCCTACTGTGCACAAATGAAGACACCTTTTCAAATAACTTGCACTTAAGCTTAGTTCATAAAGGTTACTATAAAAATATTGCAAACTCAAAAACACGATATAGTACAAAGCTTTTTTTTAAAGTCAAACTTTCAAAGGTCTGTATTTATACAAATGCACAATACTTTTCAGTGCCCTCTGAATGGTACTTTTGTTTCAGATTATTTGACTTTAGAAATCTAAGTTGAACATTTTTCATCAATTTTCTGCTTCAGAATGGAAGACACTGAGAACTTACAAAATAAATTTTTAAAACAGGATTGGGTAAAAACTTTGCAAAGTGGAGTAGTATACACTTTACATGCTTTAGTTATTGCCCTGCCAAAGATAAAAATGCCTCATTGTCCCATTTTCCTCTTATTTAGCTTGAATTTCTAGATAATTATTTTAACTACCTCTCCCTTATCTATATAGAAAGTCTTTGAGACAAATGTGTAAAGATATTAGGTTCTCTAACAAAATCCAAGATATCATTAAGCCATTTTCCATTTTCAAAGTGTATTGAAAGAAATGCTTATTTCAATATAAAACCCCAAAGTGCTGAATTAAGACACATTAATAACATGGCTGGCCAATTACTGACTTGGCTTTAGCCTCAGAAAAATATTATTACAATTGGCTGTTAAGTTCTTAACTTAAGCATTTGATTTTATACTGCAATACTGTACTTTCCACTACAGATATGAAAGAAAATGAGCTTATTTTTTTCCTTAGAAGAATAGTAATCAGCCATAACAGAAGTCAATTTTGGGGGGAAGAATATCCATGCCAAGATAGGAAATAGATTTTTAAAATCTTAGAATAATTGCTATAAAAGAACTATAAAATGTAAATTTCTGGAAAAAAATACACTGAAAACGTCTCTCTAGAAAAAAAATATGCAATTTGTTAGATACAAGAAAATACAGCATTACCATGGGGTGCAGCCAACTACGGACCTGGCTTCTGAGACCTTAAAAATTCACAAAGAGTAATTAGCACCAAAATTGTCTAAAACTTCAAATGATATACTGAAATGATTCTAGGCCAAGTGTTACATTATAAAAAAGTTACATTTAACTTGGGAAGTTTCCTCAGCAATAATAAATATATTCTTTTCAATCTTTAGAAAATGTGCTAGCTTTACTGGTTTTCATAAAAATATTAAGGTAGTGTATAGTAATTATCATTTACATTGGTCTGAGCTAAGCAGGGACAATAGAAATCCAAATTATTTCCTAAATAATATGGAGTTATTTGGTGGGGGTGGGTGGGGAGTAATTCTCCAATTAAAACTTACTTTTAGTTCCTTGTTTCATCCTTCTTCTAAAATGTTTTATTGGAGCTCTTTACAAGACCTATATTGCCCAATTTGAGTTCCATATCCTGTTATTTTCCCTGCTCACTTTTTGGTGGTGTAATTTAAGTTTTGGCACGGGAATAGGGTGTTTAAGAGTGGGCACAGATCACAGTAGTAAAACAAGAATTTTGAATAAGCTACAAAATGTATATTCAACCCTGTTATAATCAAGAGTTGAGTTTAATTTTAAACAACATCCACTCATAAATTTAGTTACAAAACAGCACACAATTTGAAACAAAGCAAACCTTTCAGCTTTCATGTAGTGAAATATATAACTTCACCAATGACGTATATGGCTACCAAACATCAAACGACAGCTCATTTGACCATATTTTACTGTTGCACATAAATAATGACGAGGCAAAGAACAGCGACCAGTCCCAGGGCTTGCAGGCCAAGGAACCACAGCATGACCCAAAAGAAGATGACGATTACTGGTTCCACAATTCTTTCGCCAAAATACATCCTTGTGAAGCCCATGTTGAGGAGGCTTTTGTTCAGTTCACCAAAAAGCGTTCCCAGCTTTTTGTAGTCATCTCCAACAGGCTCACCAGTGTGGTTTTGTGATTCTTCAATATCCTTTAAAAAAAAACAAAACAAGACAAAAAAAACATAAACATAAAATGAGAAATAGGTGAAGGTCTTCAAGAATAATGACTATTTCATAGTTCTTCATTATCTGCCAAAGCACTGAGCATATTTCTGATAATCATCCAATACTTGAGAACGTTCCTTTTTTTTTTTTTTTTTTTTTTTTTTGCTGAAGAAGTTTCGCCCTGAGCTAACATCTGTTACTAATCTTCCTCTTCATTTTGGCTTGAGGAAGATTAGCCCTGAGCTAACATCTGTGCCAGTCTTGGTCTATTTTGTATGTGGGTCTCGACCACAGCATGGCTGATAAGTGATGTAGGTCCAAGCCTGGGGATCCGAACCTGTGAACCCAGGCCGCCAAAGCGGAGCACACTGAACTTAACCACTAGGCCATGGGGCTGGCCCCAGAGAATGTTCCTTTTTGATTGACAATAAAACAACTGTGTCTGTGCCCACCTTTCAAGAATATGGAAAGCACTGATTTATTGATTTCTGTGGAATCAACATTGACTGGACCCTCAACTACCAGAACACTGATTTACAAGATGAAGGAAGGAACTGATTCATTTCCATTCATTTTCTAGTTTCCTGGAATTGCACACAGACAGCTGCTTAAATCATCACGTTTATATTCAGTGACCATGATTTTAGGACAACCATTTTCTACCAATCTCCTGCTTTGAGGCAGTGCCCCAGATTGCTCTGTCCTGGTAAGTAAGCTTCTTTGTAGTCCATTCATTTGACACTAAGACTTAAAGGAACCTAGCCTTAGCTGACTGGAGCCTCTTGCTGCTACTACTGAGCAATCCTCAGCCATTACTGCTGTGATCTTTCAATCTTAGCCCCAGCTAAGGAGATTTCAGTGTAGGCCTCTGCAAAGTTTCCTGTCCAAATTCTACAAATGTCCTAAATGCTTCTTATTAATCTCATCAGGAGAAACACAGTTTCCAAATAGGAAGAATTCTGTACAATACGCCCAAAAGTCCACCTAGAAGTCAGTTCCCCAGAAAATGCCACGTGCACTCAATTATACATACCAAAAAGCATTTACTATTATATTACCTCTCAGTCTTATAATTAAGGCTCTCATGCCAGTTATTAAGCTACTGTCTCTCAGCTTCAAACCCACCCTTTGGAATTCTGCAAATATTTCTGGCTCCCAGTTAGGCTCTGCCAACCGAGGGACTAGAGAGACAGTCCACAGCTAGAAAAGGAAGAAGGGACTTGCTCTTTCTTGCTTGCTTCTGACGGTTTCTCGAACCTGTCAGCCTCACTCTAGCAACAGTTCTTCACTCTGGCAGTAGTAGTTCCCTCTAGTAGCAGCCACTGATTTCAATTTGGCGGCTTCCTAATACTTGCAGAACCCATCTCAATGTGCCTTCTTGAGACACAGATCCAACTTGTGGGGGCGTCTTCCTCAGATAGCTGGTTCCCAGGTCTGTGTCTTCCCTCCTTTGAGCTCAGAGACACAGCACCAGGTGAGCAGCCATCTGTTCTTGGAAGTCTCAGTTTCAGCTCCATGGGGCCTTTCTCTAATCTCAGTTTTAGTAATTCCACCTCATTGCTTGTCTGCCCCAGGCCTAAGAGTGGTGGCTGCTTCTGGCTGTTGCTATCTGTGATACTTTAGCCTACTTCAGTGCTGTGGTTTTTAAATTTGAGTGTAAGTCAGAATCCCCTGGAGGGCTTGTTAAAGCACAGATTGCTGGGCCCACTGTCAGGGTTTCAGATTCAGTAAACTGGGGGGTGGGGCTTGGAGTCTGAGAATTTGCATTTCCAATAAGTTTCCAGGTGATGCTATGAGGCTAGTCTGGTGACCATCATTTGAAAAATCACTGCCTTGGTGTTCTCTTTCTGCCTTTCCTATTCCTCAATGCCTACTTAACAATTCATTATATTAAATTATCTTTGTTAATTAGTATAGTTTCTCTCTCCTCACTAGACCCTAATACAGTCACACACACACAAAAACACTGTGTCATATAGATGACATAATTGTAATTATAATTTACTAAACTTCATTTCTTTTAGAAGTCATGACTCAAATCAGTAATTACTTATTGAACATCTACCTGCTCATAGTAGGTGCAAGATGGAAAATTACTCATATGTAAAAAAAAAAAAAAAAGGCTTTAGATATAGGGTTTCACATAATAAAAAGTAAGTATTAAATACCATTATGGGTGCTGTCTAGGCCAAAGGAAAGTTAATTAGCTTAAAAAGACAAAAATCACCTGCCCAAAAGAGCCAATGAGTTTGAGGGAGTTTTCAGTCACTCTTCAAACACATGAATCAAACTTCGATTCCTTTAGTAGAAACCAAAGCTTGATGATTTCAGTCATCAATCATTAAATAACTAAAAATATTTTTTCATTTAAAAACCGCCTTATTTTCTATTCTACATATACAGTTTAAAACATATTTAAGGGAAGACAGTGAAAAAAATCTAATTTTTATTTGCAATAGTCAGACAAAATGATTATCAATATGACTTCTAAGGTGGCCTTTTCTCACCTAATGGTAATTTATGTAGAGCAGAATGTCACTGATGAAGTAGTGGAAAAATGAGACTCAGTGGGGCATCATTGTTAAGTCTATATTTTAAGTTAAACCAGAATTATTGGAGTTATATTTATAATTTTTTTATTACTTTTGGATTTTCATTTCTATATAAAAACAGTGGGAAAAACAAAATGCTGTAGAGATATCTAGGGAGTTCAAATCCGGGCTGCAACACTTGAACTCAGTGACCTTGACCAAACTACTTCCCTTTCCTGAGCTTCAGTTCCTAATCCACAAAATGGATTTATATGATCCCTTTTTGATGCTGATAATATCCTCTTGAATGATAACTTACTTGTTAACCTTTCCTTATTTTTTTGCATTTTAATTTCTAAATTATTTTTTCCTTCACTGATGTGCTGTGATCTTTTTATGTGTTCCATGATAATATACTACATTAGAAAAGAAAAACACAAAAGCTTGTTCTTCCCTGAGACTAAGCCTTTTCTTTTCTTTAGGACAGAACTTGAGAGTCCTTGATTTAGTTCAGAATTCCTCTGGTCCCTCAACGGTCTCTACTCCTTCAGCCTCTAGCATTGTTAATGTCATTTCTGGCCTGTTTTTTTTCAATTTTTTATTACAGTTTTTTTTCTTTTTTACTCTTTCCAATTTCTTTTAATCTATACACTCATTGTACTTGGAGGTTTTCTGTTGTTACTGAAGCTTTTTAAGACTTTTTTTTCAGTATTTTTGTGGTTTTAGTACAAAGAAAGCACCCTAATCTGATATGGTTCTCTATGAAGATTTACTTTCAATTCTTGTACAAACTGCTCGTGGGTTTTTCAGGGGAAGAAGTAGGTGTTGCAACATGTAAGTCAAAACCGGGAATCAGTTAACTCCTAGAGGCCAAGTGAGGAGGCAGCAATGATCACACCTCAGATCCTGGGAACAGCTGGTGGGACTGCGATGGGAAGTGGAAGACCCAGTGAGGACTGGCTGGGCAAGCTGTGGCTGTGGCAGGCTGCCGCTGCTTGTTTCTTTTTTCTTTTCTCTTTGTGAGGAGATCAGCCCTGTGCTAACATCTGCCAATCCTCCTCCTTTGTTTTGCTGAGGAAGACGGCCCTGGGCTAACATCTGTGCCCATCTTCCTCCACTTTATATGGGACGCCGCCACAACATGGCTTGCCAAGCAATGCGTTGGTTCACCCCCGGGATCCGAACCGGCGAACCCCGGGCCGCCGCAGCGGAGCGCGCGCACTTAACCGCTTGCGCCACCGGGCCAGCCCCTGCTTCTTTTTTCAATATGAAAAATTTTCAAGCACACACAAAATTAGAGAACAGTACAATGAACCCCTATATACCTATCAATCAGATTCAGTAATTACTAAAATTTTGCCACCTTACTGGAGTACTTCTTAATCTGGGCAATCTAAAGGAGAGGAAAAAGTGTAATCACTAGAATGCCTAAAAGTGGCATATCTTCATAAATGAAGTTCTGTGGAAACATCAAAGATGTCCAGCAATGAAGTGGATGGAGGTTCAAACAATTCTAAAGGAAGGACACTTAAGAACAAGCAAAAGGAGAGGTAGTATTCTTAAATCAGTGAGATTGCAGTCAATCTCATTACAGTATTTTCTGTATCCAGGATATCCCCCCAAAACCACAATTCTAAAAGGTACAAACAGCAGTGTGCTGGTAAATGTTTAACAACAGGCTTTGGGGGGTGGGGTGGGGATGGTGGATCTCTGATTTGTACCATTTGCCAATTCTGCACTGTTTTCCAATTTCTGTGGCCAGTTTCAAGCTACTTACAACCAGCTGGCACGGTTCCTGAAATTTAACAATTGGCTCTTACGTCTGGTAGGAGCCAGCACCTGCACTCCATTGTAGGGACACTAGTTGAGATAAAGACCTGCAGTGTGATGACTGATATAATATATTGAAATTAGGAAAATTATATTAAGAAAGAAATATATTATGACTTGAGTAGTGGATATGGTTAGATAGAATGCAATACATGGAATGCTATAATACCACCACAAGTTAACAGCATTTTGCTTTTTCTGGTCTGTTTCATGCAGATATCAAAAGTGCATCCAATTCAATATGTAAGTTCTTATTTACAATAAAATTTAAGCTGCCTGATTTGTGAGGAAGTGGTGCTCTTTCAGTGCTCCCCAACTCCGTGAATGGTATGGCACTGCCATCCATATGCCAGATCCAAAGGCCAGAAACCTGAGGCATTCTTGACCCCTCCCGCTTCCCCACCTCCCACATCCAGCTCATCACCATTTCCTCTTTATTTTACCTTCTAAATATTTCCTTTATGTGTGTACTCTATTCCGTCTACTACTGTCATCCTACAACAATCTACTAACGTCTCTTGACTATTCCGACAGTTTCCATAATGCTCTTGCACACATCGCTTAGCTCCCCCATAAACTATTTACCACACCTCAGCCACAGCGATCCTTTCAATCACTCCACC